CACCCAAGGGCAGAAGGATTTAATCGCCGTCAGGTCCGAAGTCCATACGACGCCTCAGCTCTGCGGATGTCTAGGGGGTATGGCAAAGTAGAATCGATTTTTTCTCAATTTTTTTGTCGGTGGACTTAGGCTCAAACCCTACCTTTTTCCAGATTTTTTTTTTTTTTTAATGTTTAAAAATATTTCTTTATTATTTTTGCCATTAAACTCGTTAACTCTTGAAGCTAAACCTGTACAGTCTTCATTGGACAGCTTATTCCACTTGGTTTCACAATATTTTGTCTACATATTGCTATTCCTATGAATTAAATACGAATTTAAAGAAAAAAATAAATTTAAATCGCGAAGCATCTTGGTARTGGAGGTGAAAACACAGGGAACCCGGCTATATATATATATTTGTTTGCTTCTTTTAGAAAAGTAACTTTGCTCTTTGTGGGTTTCCTGTGTTGTGATCGGCTTCCTATAAGACTTTTCATAGTTTAAGAATCGATTCAACTGCGCATGCGATTTTATCCCGAATTTCTCACCTTCTTTTGTTCTTAATTAAACAAAAGGTGAGAAATTCGAGATAAAGTCACATGCGCAGTGGAATCGATTCTTAAACTGTGAAAAGGCTTATTCAATAATTAAGCTGTAATCAGATCTTTGCTGTAATCAGATCGGCGCTCTAAACCGATAGCTCATTAAATTCAAATCAATAACTGTTGGTGTTTTGTTTCGTAYGGGTTGCCTGTGGTGTGTAACGCACTTTCTAGTAAGCAGTCAAAGGCCTAAAGTAGCTGGTCAGAGCAACTGGAGGTGATGATCACACGATAAAAATTGCTTTGTTGCTTCCTTCTCTTCTTTTGAGTGTTTACTAGAGTGCGTTACCAACGGTGTATGGGTAGGAAGGATCGATCATGGGTGTATAGTGTATGGGTGCGAGGGATGGATCATGGGTGTATTGTGTATGGGTGGGAGGGATCGATCATGGGTGTATTGTGTATGGGTGGGAGGGATCGATCATGGGTGTATTGTGTATGGTTGGGAGGGATCGATCATGGGTGTATTGTGTATGGGTGGGAGGGATCGATCATGGGTGTATAGCGTATGGGTGAGAGGGATCGATCATGAGTGTATAGTGTATGGGTGGGAGGGATCGATCATGGGTGTATAGTGTATGGGTGGGAGGGATCGATCATGGGT